TATATATATATATATATATATATATATATAGACAAATAGACGATTGAGGATGATAGATAGATACAATCGATTATCATCTACTTCAACGGAAGCTCCTCCTCTAGGCACTTGATAGCATCTCCTTAAACATACACTCACTCACTTAATTGATAGCCTCTCCTTAGACGTACACACACACACTCACTTAATTGATAGCATCTCCTTAAACATACACTCACTCACTTGGTTGATAGCCTCTCCTTAAACAAACACTCTCACTTAATTGATAGCCTCTCTTTAAACATACACTCACTCACTTGGTTGATAGCCTCTCCTCCGGTGATGCGGCTGGTGTTGAGAGTAGTGTGCCATGGCAATTCGTTGTTATCGAAGACGAGTGACCCATCCCTGGTTGCCTATAGTGTGAATATGTATGCATATATATGAATCAAGCGCGGATACGAAAACTTTCCTGGTTGCCTATTTTGTGTATATGTATGCATGTATATGAATCAAACGCGGATATGAAAACTTTCCTGGTTGCCTATAGTGTGTATATGTATGCATGTATATGAATCAAACGCGGATATGAAAACTTTCCTGGTTGCCTGTAGTGTATCGTATACATTTATATGACTCGAATGCGTTTATAGATACTTCTCTGGTTGCCTAGAGTGTGTTATATACAAGTATGTGCACGGTAGTCGTATACATGTGTATGACTCAAACACGTATGTGAACACTATATGTCTATTCTGTCTATTTGATTGACACAGGCGTGTACGTGTATGCAACTTATGATTGTTATAAAGCACCCGTACATACAATTATATAACGAGTACATGCTTAACACCCATACATTGCGAATGTAGACGACGCATTCATGAATAGCTGCCCAACATTTGAGTGACCTGCGCATATGTGCACCTCTGCAGACGTGGCAATATAAGTGACCCTAAACCCTAAACCCTCAAAAGATATGCAAGAATGTGTACCCGTGCTTCGTGTAAAATAACAATCTATTGATGAGAGGTGAATACAAGCTAAAATCGGTGCCATCTATCTGGAAAACGGATTTTGCATATTCAACTTTCGAGACGGACCCCATATATTATCCACAAAATGAGCGTGAATAGGTATTCAAAGAGGTCATAAACAGACATATGTGACGAAAAGATACAGACATTTACGATATTGGGGGGGGGGGGGAGGGGGGAGAGGGGGTAGATAAGTTCGTACAACACAATGACTTCTGTGCAAGTTGACATCGGATACTACGCCCAAAGCAACAGACACCTGTTCAATCGATCAAGACACTTGACGATAGACATAATATCATCTGTAGTGTACTGTGGCTTGTACTCTCGATTCCCATATTATATATTGATCATATACGCATGATGCATGTATGGTAGTGTGAACCTGATCTACATTAGTTCCGGATAACTCTCAGACGTGCGTACAACCTACCCACACCATGCCGACGCACTTTTTGTATAGATACATATTGAATTCACAATACAAGAAGCGTGTGAGAATACAAAGTCTGTTTCCATAAAATGTTTCATACCAATATAGGCAGCATGAACAGGCTCTACTATCTATACTATAAAAAAGTAGAAATAATAGGATTGACTGTATATATTAAAAAGAATATCCGATTTAACTAGTAGCCACCATTAGATGGACTGTATATATCTATTAGAATACCAGTTTCAACACCACAAAATCAGTAGTAGTAACAAATACATCAACTGTATATATCTATTAGAATACTCGTTTTAACGCCACAATATCAATAGTAGTAACGCTTAGATGAACTGTATATACCTAGTAGCATACCCGTTTTAACGCCACAATATCGTCCATAAGCAAATCAATGGCATTTGTCCCATTCCAGGGATACGCGCTGTGTGCATTCGTGCCAGTGACAGTCAGTGTCATACGCAGTACACCTTTCTCGTGCGTAACAACCCTGAAGTGATCCCCTCCTGTGTGAGAGGTGTATTTAGTGTGAAGTTTACAACAACTAAGCTAGAAATATACTGACAAATCAATACACACATATATATATATGTGTGTGTGTATATATACACACACACATACATATATACATGTATACATACATACATACATACATATATATATATATATATAGATATATACATACATACATACACTCATTCATACCTACGTACATATATACATATTTATATACATACATACATTCAAACATACATACATACATACATACACACATACATATATACATACATGCATAAACACATACATACAAGGAAATATACACAAATATATACATGTACGCACACAGACAT